GTTAAAACACACGAAAGGACTCTAAAGCACACTTCACTCTGATTGGGCAGAAAAACACAAAGATTTTCTGGCACTAATCAGATGGCAGAACGACTGCGACCGTTTGGAACTAGTCTTGTAAGACAATGTCCCCAGGGGCTCTTCACGCCCTAACTTGAAATCGACCCACAGCCCCTGGGTCTCCGAGGATGATTCAGTCATCATGCAAACTTTTGTTCAGTTTATGTCATTTAATATGACTTATCTTTATCTCTATTTTACAAATGAAGCATGAATTCAAGTGAATCTATAAGATAAACTACAAGATTTAGGATTTTAGTTTTTGGTTAGTCCAGTTTGAGATTCTGTAGCTTCAGACAAATTCTCTCAATCATTAACCACTGTTAATGACTTACCCTCTGGCCTGGTTCAAAGTTGCTTAATTGAGAACGGATTTCCTTCCGACCTGAACCTGGACAAGACTCATCATTTTCCAACTGACCACTCCTTGGAAGGCAGAATGGCGCTGCAGCTTCTATTAACTTTCCTTCCGAATACCATTGGATACGGTATGTCACATTCTTCCAAAGTTCAATTCCCTTTAGAAGAGGCACTTCGCAATAGAGTTTAACCCTGTCTGTGTCAGGATCAGCCATGTCGACATAACTTATATTTGGTCTTCCCAAGTATGTGTTACCTGGGAATTTCACAGGTGTAGCTGTGAAGAAAGAGAAAAGCAGTAGCCTTTCTGTAAGACAAGTAGGTCAATTTAAGGTACAGTGAGACAAACAGTTCTCACATGTTAAAAAAAAAATCATAACCAAACCATAATCAAAGAATAACCAGAAGGTAACATCTCTACTAGATGGGCATGTAAGTTTCCGCCATACTGAATTTTTGGTGACCATTACCTTTACCTGTTTAAGTGTGATTTGTTTCTGAGCTTCCTGGATGATTTTTTTTTTGTCTTTTCTAAAAATGCATACTTGTTAAGAAATTTCTTTATTCTTTATTTTAGGGATAAATGGTGCGGCATGGAATGGCCCGAGATCTCATTAGCTAGAGTTTTCCTTTAATGAGAGCATACCTGAGCATGTATTCAGTGACGTCCCAGTTTGTCCATAAGGGCATGGCTTCCCATTCCCTATATCATGAAATAAATGAATAAATAGACAACAAATAAATATATTAATAATCTCAAAACGAAAATCTACATAGTAGTAGTATTAATTTTCAAAAACTTCGCAATTTGAAAATATAGATATTATATATAATTTTCCTTTTACATCAAATTAAAAAAAAAGTGTTGACCGAATAAATCCTTGGCGCAATTTTTCAATAAAGAAAGTACACAAGCTGCCCTCCTTCGAAATTCCAAAATTCTTTTTTTCACCCTCGCACAAAGACAAGAAAGGTATTGTTCCTTCGATGTAAAATATTCATGCGTCGTCTACTACATTTTAATGAGAAAAAGAGAGGTACGTATATAAATTTGATACATATTTTCAAGTTGCGACGTTTTTGAAAACTAGTATATAAATACATATATGCACCCGTACACATGTAAACACACATACTTGCATACGTATGGATAGATGTCAACATAGAGGGATGAGAGATAGACAGATAGAAAAATATATATAGACTCAAGTAAATGGTACATACATGTACTGTAAATATACCCCTGATTTCAATCACGTTGTCAAAGAAAAAAGCAAATATATACTGACTCAACGACTGCAGAAAACCTTATACAGATCTTACTGATTTCTACTTAATCCACTTCACACGTGATCATACATTAATGTTTAGGAACAGAACGATGTTGCATACCTGTTGAGGCTATCCGTTATGTTATGATTTAATGTCATGATTTAATTCATATTTCTGCTACAACTCAAAATAGCAATTTTTCACTATTGCGGCTCTGACCTCCCCGTGAGAACTGAGGCTGGGTGGAATTATGTGATTTCAAAGATTAAGTGAATTTAACCTTTATATGGCAGTGGAGAAACATCTAACAAAACTCACAAGAAAGTAATTGCGTTGTGATTGTATTTTATTGTTGCTTTAAGTGAGTTAAAAAACATGAAGTTGAATATTTCTCAGCCAAGCTTTTAAGTATGCTTGAGTTCCTGCTCATTAGCAAACGTAAAATTTATAGTGGAAGCCGAATGAAAATATGGTAGACCACTCGGTTGGCCTGGATTTAGTTGCACGATAGCGAGTCTAGACGGTACTCGGTTTATTTTTCTGAGTTTTGGTTTGACAACGCAACTCTTGAAAAGTTAATTATGCGTCGTTGACGATCTAAATTGGGATAGTATGGGCGCCCCTACTGGTAAAGAAACTGGTTAATCCATACAAAATTTATCATATAAAAGCAAAAGACAACATTTTTTGTCATTTTACTGGCGTAATAACCACTTGCAGCGAGTTGTCGTGGTAGGTATTTCAGTTACGCTTCATTAGCCATTTATGAAAGCAATTATACAAATCTGAAAGGGAACGTGTGCTTCCCACAAGTGCCGAAATAATGGGAGAATTTTAAGGGTTGAAAGCTTGCTAAGCGTTTATGAGTAGCACAATGTGACAACAACTGCGAAATTTTCAAAGCTATTGCAATAAAAGAAGTAACTAAAAAAGCACTTAGAAAAGCTAAGAACCTTACCGGCGCAATAGGCAATGTAGCAAGAATATGTTGGCTGGAGATAATAGACGAAGTATTGCCCATTACAATTCTTTACAGTTACTCCAAAGCTGTAAAAACAACCACCTCTCCTGTCAAATATGTTAACACAGGCTTGAACTAATTTCACCACATTAGGAGCAGGATGCACTCCATTCAACCAGATCGGAGCTTTAGTACCGCAGCGGTTTTGCGTCACCATGGAAGTCGGCATTTTTCCTCCAACAAAGCTAGTAAAGCGATACCATCCCTTTTCCAGAGTGTGATCACATAGTGGGGTTTGACCTGGCTCCCACACACTTTGTGTACTGCGTCGAGAATCACTAATATCTTTATAATTTCCTTGTTGGCAGCACTCATTACAGCTAGCAACGCCTTGAACAAGAGATGCACGACAGAAGGCGACAAGAATAAACACACATACCACTATTAATCGCGAAACATTCATGACTTTATATGATATTTTCGCACGGGACGTAAAACTAGTCTTCCATATACGAGAGCTCTTGGACTGGTATGTGATTACCGTATATAACGGTAAATCCCACACGTCTTGGTCATGCGTTGTCATAAAATATCTGTGGCAAGTTCAAATTCAAGTTTAAATTTAGATGGACTTCCTGGATGTCTATTACTCTCGCAATTAATGATACTGCTTTACAAGGCAACCCAAGGGAATTAATGACCCTTTGCACTCTTAATGGTGCAACCCACTGATCTACACTTCCTTGGGAACTGATACCATCAAGGGCTTATATTTTCTTAAGTAATTCCACTACCGCGCACTAACTATTACAGAAAAAGCTTTAGCTACAATGGCGCCACATTATGGAACAGTTTACCACGCGATATAAGGAACACAGAGTCTCTGGGGTTATTTAAACGTAAGATCAATGACATTCTTTAAGTCTAACGCACGGCATTCACGGAAAACAGCTTTAGTGTTATAGTATGTAGTTTTAATTTTAAATATCTTAGCGTATGTGATATGTATTTTTATAGGCTGATGAATTGATCGTGTCTAAATAAAGATTACAATACAATACAATACAACAATGCGTTGTTCAATATTCGTTTAAATTTCTTAAGGAAGTAGTTTACCAAGATTCTTTTTTAGCATTCTGTGCCGGGATTGTGATTGGTTTAAGCTTACGGAAACTATCTAAAAAAAGGTGGGAGTTTTTCGGTTGACGCAACAAAGGAAGGATAGCGGTAATTTGTTCCGTTTGTGCTGAAACCAAAATCGTCTTTTCTTTTTGAAATTCTTAATTGACTCATCAGCAGATTTTTATGCTAAAAGGTTAGGTAAACATGATCACTAGGACAAAACCGATCGACTGCAACTGCGACTGCAAGTGCGAAAGTAAAACCTTTCAAATGGGTTTTGATGAAAAAAGAAAAAATTAACAAAAAATAAAACAAAACAAAACCAAAAAAAAAAAAAACACACACACACACATAAAAACAGATTTGTCATACCTGAGTGGTTGTAAAGACATCCGGTTGGTAACGTGCAGATTCTCGCTCAAACGGCATATTTACATAAACAAGAATAATTCTTATTACTTTAGGCAATATATAGAGGCATTTCAAGACAGAATAATGATCACTTGTGCAATTCCCGACCACGTAGACTTGCTTGTTCTTTGTTCCTCAGCCGTAGTAGATTTTTAGTTCTGAATTGCACATTTCACGTAACTTGTAGCCGTATATGAACAATGTAAAGAAATTTCTTTAAATAAACTATGATGCATAGAATCGAATAACGTGACACGATCACCCATGGTATAGTTTTTCAAAAATAGAACTATTTAGAAGCGATTTTGATGACCAAACTTGGTAAGGTAACTCATTGTTTGCTTCAATAACTACATGCAAAGAAAATTACAAAAGTAGCAAAACCAAAGAAAAGCAACAAAACAATTCTCCAAAGCAAAAATCGTGCAACGTACCAACATCAACACGTCTCCCTACACGTTGTGGTTATCATGTCTTTCTCTTTTGCTAGACGAGAGACGTCTGTATACCCAGGATTATGAAATATTTTAAATAAGCTGAAGTCGCTGTGCTATACAGTGATAATATGACTCTTTGAGCGTTGTCTATTCACCGGCTACCAAAGTGCAACAAGGACTCTAGTACATAAGTATGATAAACTCGAAGTTAGATTCTCAGGGAACCGAAAGTTTTTGTACTCATACGAAATTATAAAGCAAGTTTGGAAACGCCGCTACAAGTATTTTTTTCTACTAACTGCGGATACATGTAGTGTATCGGCAACTCGTAAACATTTTAGCCTTAGGCTCCCCTTACAACTTTTCTACTATATGAACTCGTAGTGTGTGGGGTAAATTCGGTTTAAAACTTCTCTATCTGTACGTCAGCTAAAGGCATTGAAAAACTAGGTGTGATATATAGTTGATGATGATAGATAGTTTATTACTAAATAAAATACATTGCAGCCATAGGCTGAATTGCGTGCTTTTCACAATCTTTGATTATATAAGACAACCAATTACAAAAATGCTACGACCTAAATAAAATTACTAATATGACAACTATAACTAATATACAACAGTGGGATAGCTAAAAATCTAGGTTACCACACGCGCACATAGCCGGGATAAATAAAGATTTAAAACGATCAGTGCGAAAGCGCGGCATGTTAAAAACGCGCCGGTGTCTAGTATTGTAAGCTGAAAGATGTCTATCTGGTAGCAAATTATATAATTTGTGAGATGGATTTGAGACAGACAAAAACAGATCCGTACATAATTTAATGCGTCTGTCATAGAGCGAAGCTAAACCGTGCCTTTCTAAAGA